TAGTCTAGGAGGTCGAAATATAATATTATGGAAATTTAGAGATCCAATTGATACACACGTAATTTGTTTTCCCTTCTATGATCTAATATTAAACTTTAGATAGAATTGGTTAATGTGAAACTAAATGGCCGGTTACTCAACCTTTATCCAATAAGCGTTTATCAAGTCATGCTAGCTTTGCAGATGAATATGGCAAGAACCAATAATCTTATCCGGTAAGAGCAATGACAAAGACCAAGAGGTTTACTATGTTATTAAATGTGACGATTTTTACTAGGTAAATTGTTGCATATGATGTCATTTTGATGTAGTTAAAATCTTATCCGACAAGGTAATTGATAGTGTTAAATCTTACTACTAAGTGTTTATCGGGCAAGTGTTTGGGTAAACGGCCCCTAAAACTCAAAACCTTAAACTATTAACTGAAAAATAGTAATACAAATTTATTATGATTTTTGTACGATTATTAATTAATAGAAAATAACCTTAGATTAGTAATATAACATAATATACTAACTTGAACACTATTTCTTTATACTATTCAAAAACTAATTTTTATATACAATTGATATTAATAATTTGATATCAAGTTATAGGAAGGAAAAATGACAAGAAAAAAAATTAGAAGTTTTTTTTATATTAATAATTTAATATGTATGTAGTTATGGCCTAATGGGAAGAAAAAATGACAAAATAGGAAAAATAAAAAGAAAGAGATTTCTTTAAGAACATCTTCAACAACAGTTATGCCATAGTTTTTCTATAATAAAATATGAAAAGACAAAATATCTAGAAAAAATTCCATTTAACTCCAACTGCTACTTTATTTTAGCAATTATAACATAAATTATATTAATAAAATATCCAATAGCTTTAATTGGTTGGATATAATTAAAATATTATTTTCTCTCTCTTCTATAGAGTTCTAGAGATTTTCCCAATCTCTTTACTCTTTTATCTATTTTAGCATTTAGGATAGCATAACCGTTGGAGCAACAAAAATTGTAAAATACTTTTTTTCTCCATTTTAACATAGTTGTTGGAGATAACCACAAGGTAATTACTAACTGAGATGCCTATCATATGTGTTCTAAATACTTCATATGTAGTAATTGAGTCAAAAAGCAAGGTGGCAATGGCCCCGAAAGGCCCTATGGGATTCCGCCACTACACTTTATCGTTTGTATTCCATCTAATCATAGTTGATTAACTAATTTATATTATTTAATATTATATAATCACTTTTTCTTGAAATAACACAATCACTTATTTATATCCATATATGTACTACTTTATAAATATAAATGTACTACTTTATAAAGCATATTTGAGAAAATTTTAAAACAACTCATGTTGTATAAAGTACCGCTTATTAATGCACAAAATCTTAAATCTCTTAACTACAACCTTACAAGCTTGGTGTACAACTTGCTAAACCTAGGTATATTTTTCCATGACAGGTTGCTCATATCCTACGTCCCCAAGGTGACGTTTCGTAGATTCATGTTCCCAGACGAACAATTCAAGCTTCCGATAGATTTGTGGTTCAAATACCTCTTCCATGTATAATTATATTGTTAGGATTCATCTCCATCGTTCGATCTCAGGTGGCTTTCATCCCTTTTTTCTTTTCATCCCCATCGCTCCATCTCA